CTTTTGCTCCCCGGGCCCATGGCGACCGGGGCCGGATTCGCGCCGCCGCGGCCTCCCGAGTCCTCCCGCCAAGATGGCCACGGATTTAAACTTGGCGCCGCCCAGCGGCCACGCCTCCCGGAGGCGGCCGGCCGCGTCACGGGCTGCGACGTCAGAAGCAGGCGCGGGCGACGGCAGCGGCGAGCGCGAGCAGCGGGCGGAGCGCGGCTTGGGTCGGAACCGCCATGAGCAAGCGGAGCCAGGTGTCGTACGTGCGGCCCGCCGAGCCCGCCTTCCTGGCCCGCTTCAAGGAGCGCGTCGGCTACAGGGAGGGGCCCACCGTGGAGACCAAGGTGAGCCCGCGGGAGTCGCGCCGCGCCAGGCCCTCGGGCCGCTCCTCGGCGCCGGCGGAACTGACAGGTCCTCCCTGCAGACCAGCTGGACCCAGGCCCGCCCCTCGCGCCAGGGAGTCCTTCCTCGCGGAGGGCTGACCCTGGAGATGGCCTAGCGCTTAGTAGCCAGTTAAAACGGCTTTCCTGTTGTTTCTCACTTGCGGACCTCACTTCGAGCGAGCAAGGTGATTGACAGCGTCGTCCCCTTTTTCAGATAAGGAAAGTGAGGCCGCTTGATAAGATGACTAGAAGCCGGAGTCTTTGGGTAAAGCGTCGTGGCTAGTAGAATCCCTGCTGTTCGTCTCAAGATAGGGAAATGAAACAGCACGGCTCGAAGTAGTTTGTGTAATAGAGATAACATCGAAGTGGAACGTGGTGGCGCGAGCTTGTGGCCTAAGTACTCGGGGAGGCAGAGGTAGGCAGATCATGTTTGTTCGAGACCAGCCAGCCTGGTCTACAAAACGAGTCCAGGACAGCCAAGACTACACAGAGAAACCCTGTCTGGAAAGAAAAACAAAAACAAAGGGAGCATTGAAAACAGTGTCGTTCTTGATGCCTATCCAAATGTCACACAAGAGGACATGCAGTTACCTTCAGGAGCACTCTAGCGGCTCTTTAGTCTTGAAGGCTATTAAACTGAGTAAGAGATGGCCTGGGACAGTGGGGCCCTGGACACAGTTTGAGAGACAGACGGCAGAGGAGTGGATGTGGTTGTGGTGGACTGTTTGGTACTCAAACTTGAAAGTCTAGCTTCCAGAGGGTGTAAAAGTGGTATGGAACAAAGTATGGCAGTGGACTAAAGCCAGTTCATGCGGGGTATTCCACATTAGATGACGGCACAAAATTATTTTGAAAATAATAGTTTGGAAAATGAGGTAATTCTGTATTTACCTCAAAGTATTTATGCAATTTTTTTTTTAAGCTAAAAAGCAGGACTTTCATAGTGCCTAGCTTTTGGGAAACGTGATTTAGCTAACGAAGTACGTTTGTTACGTGCGTACAGTGCGTACAATGAGTCTTAAACAGGGTTTCTGCTTGAGAAATTCCGTGTTAAACAGTATGTTAAACAGTATTGTTTATATACAAAATCTTTCACCTTACTGTTTGTAAGGCACTGAAGAGCAGCTGATAACATATCTGCTTGGTACACGCCTTTAATCACGGCACTCAGGAGGCAGAGGCAGACAAATCTCTGACTTAACAGACCAGCCTGGTCTACAGATCGTGGTCCAGGACAGTCAGGGCTAAACAGAGAAACCATACCTTGAACCCCTCCCCCAACACACACCCCAAAAAATGTCTACTAAACTGAAGCTGTTAGCATAGTAAATGAGCAGAGGCAGGGGAAATAACTTACCTATTTTCTGTACTTTGGTGGCTTGGATGGCGAGATGGGGTTGTTTGGGAGTTGCTTTTTGTCGAATTCAGACAAGACAGAAACGAAAAGTGTTGATTAGAAACAAAGAACCAAGGTAGGTTGGCACTGCCCTCAGCAAGCCAGATAGAAATAAATTCCACTGGACAAGTGGCCTGGGTGATTGGCAGGTAGACCTGTTTTCAGATAAGCTCTTTGGAGTTAATTAAAATTTCATTTTATTTTCATTTTCTATAAATTTCATGGATAGTTACCTATTTCACTTTTTTGGTTTTCAAGACAGGGTGTCTCCGTATAGCTCTTGCTGTCCTGGAACTCACTCTGTAGACCAGGCTGCCCTCAAACGGACAGAGATCCGCCTACCTCTGCCTCCTGAGGACTGGGATTAAAGACATGCAGCAACTCTGCCTGGCCCATTTCACTATTATTATTATTATTATTATTATTATTATTATTATTATTATTATTATTATTTAAAGATTTATTTATTATTTATACAACATTCTGCCTGCACACCAGATCTTACTATAGATGGTTATGGCCACCATGTGGTTGCTGGGAATTGAACTTGGGACCTTTGGACAGCGAGTGTTCCTAGCCTCTGAGCCATCTCTCCAGCCCTCACTTTAATTATTACAGTTGCTCACAGTGACAGTGTTTGTGTTTGGTTAAAGATTAAACCTACACATATTTACATTTCTGTAGAAAACCCAGCCTCAGCTCCCAGATGAAGATGATAATCACAGTGACAAAGAAGATGAACAGCCTCAAGTAGTGGTTTTAAAAAAGGGAGACCTAACAGCTGAAGAAGTCATGAAAATTAAAGCAGAAATAAAGGCTACCAAAGCAGGTATGTCCAGAATAAAGTAGGATTTTTATTTTATTTTATTTTTTAGCCGAACAGAATGGTTTGAAGAATGTGGCCATTGGTTCAAGCATTGGCTAGTACCAGATGTAACCTTCAGCAAGTGATTTCACCTGTGCCTCAAGTTTCGCTTCATTGAAATACAGACAAGTGGACCTACCTTAGTATCCTACTAACAAGATAGGTCAACCAGTGAGGAAAGATCTGTGTAATTAATTAGAGCCTGAAGTGTAGTGTGTTATGTAGTGCTCTTGGGTTATTTCTGAGCATCTGCTTCATTGTTTTAAGGAGAAATACTGTGGTTCCAAACACAATTCAAACTTCAACCTAATGAACTGGAAATACAGCTCAGTGATAGAGCACCTTCTTAGCATGCATAAGTCCCTGAGTTCAGGCCATTGCTTTCTTCATCTTTACTGTAATCAGTTGGAGGCTAACAATATTATGGAAAACCTTAGTGAGTTTTTATTGACTGACGTGTGTTGGGAAGGCTATAAAAAAAAGCAGTAGAGAAGACCAGACTGAATTTATTCAAGGACATCAGTAAGGCTAGTATAAGATTTTCTTGCTATTTGACTCTTTGTAAACCACAAAATAATGAGGAAAATTCTTCAATTTCTCTCTCTTTTTTTTTTTTCACAGATGAAGAACCACCTCCAGCTGATGGAAGAATCATGTATCGAAAACCAGTTAAGCGTGCCTCTAATGAAAAGTGTTCAGGCTTAACAGTAAGCTCCAAAAAGAAGAAAGCAAATGAAGATGATATAAATAAGCAGAATCCAGTTAGAAAGAACTCACAAAAACAAATAAAAAACAGTAGTCTCCTTTCTTTTGACAGTGATGATGAAAATGAGTAAGTATAAACATCATGGACTTGGTTTCCTTTGAAACAGTGAGGTGTTTTTTAAAATACTAGTTTTCCTATATCTTAAAAGTAACATTTTTCACTAGTACTACAGGTTTATTACAGAAAACTTCAAAAATTCTGGAAAAAAATGCCCGAAATAAAACCCATCCATCAATGCCCCTTTGTCTGGAAATGGTAGCCATTCACTACATAACCATTTTATTACCTCCCATTTATGGGTGTGTGTGTGTGTATGTAGATTGTATTTTTAAACAAAACTGAGATTGTTATATATGTTCTTTGTCCTGTTTCTTATTTGGAATTACATTGCTAGAATTTTCTCAAGTTGCTTATTTCAAAATCTAACATCACTAATAGATGATAGAGAATTCCATAATAGATAGATGTCTTAGTCACTGCTCTTATTGCTGGAAGAGATACCATGACCACAGCAACCCTCATAAAAGAAGGCATTTAATTGGGGGCTTGCTCCCAGTTTCAGCTTAGTTCATTGTCATGGGGTCAGGGAGCATGGTGCTAAGATGGGCATGGTGCTAAGATGGGCTTGGTGCTGGAGAAGTGCCTTGGAGCTACATCAGGCTCCACAAGCAGAGGGGGACTGGGTTGGGTGGGAGGGAGAGAGCGAGAGAGGCAGAAAGAGTGGGTAGAGAAGAGGGAGGAGAAAGGGTGGGAGGGAGAGAGTGGGCTTTCGAAACCTCAAAGCCCACCCCCATTAACACATCTCCTCCATTAAGGCCACACCTCCTAATCCTTTTAATACTTTCATAGTTCTACTCCCTGGTGACCTAGCTTCAAATATAGGGCCTGTGTATCTTCCTCATAATTCCTGTAGGAATTTACCATTTGAAGGAAAACGTTGGTTTAGAATAAAACCATTCATTATCCAATAGTCATGTTAGATAACTCCCAATATTAAAAACAATGCTGTAAGATCTCCTATGCAACTGTAATTCTAATATGATCTGTAAGTCTAGTTCAACTAAATATAATTACAATGTATTATCAGCTACCTATATGTAGAGGACCTAGGTCCAGTCCATGCATGGTATCTGGTTCATGTTTCAGACTCTATAAGCCGCTCTGGGCCCTGGTTAGTTGGCTCTGTTGGTCTTTTTGTGAAGCTCTTGTCAACTCCCAGTCCTTTTATTCTCCCCCTCAACTTTTTCTCTAGACTCCCTATGCTTCACCCAATGTTTGGCTGTGAGTCTTGGCATCTGTTTCAAACCATTGCTGGGTGGAGCCTCCCAGAGGACAATGCTTTGGATGTGGCTATGAGCCTGGTTTTTCCCAGGCCAGGTATAGCAGCCAATAACTCCAGCACATGAGAAACAAAAAGGCAAGAGCCCACCTGGTCTACAAAGTGAGTGAAGGCAGCCTGGGTTACATAGTGAGACACTGTCTCAAAAAAACTAAGTGTAGCTGGGGACAGTGTCACATGTCTGTAATCCCAGCACTCTGGGAGGCAGAGGCAGGCAGATCTCTGAGTTTGAGGCCAGCCTGGTCTTCAAAGTGAGTCTAGGACAGCTAAAGCTACACAGAGAATCCCTGCTTTGGAAAAGAAAAAACAAACACTAGCAACAATAACAAAAATGCAAGTGCTTACCTGGGCAGCACACGCACTAAAATTGAATGACACAGAGATACAGAGATTTGTGTGGCCCGTGAAGCGACGGCATGCAAACACGTCTTCTGTAGCAAAAGTCTTGGTTTCTTTAATAAACTCCAGTTATGCTATGTCAATGTTTTGTTTTGAGCCCAGTTGTGGGGTATGAGGCTGTTTCTGAATGTCCACCGCCATTAACTGTGATCGTCTCAGGCTCTCGCATGATGTGATTTGTGCCAGTTGTGATAGTTGAAATTCTGAGAACTTGTAGGAGGGTATAAATGTCAGAACTCCCTACAGTCTGGAGCATCTGCTGCTGCCCACTGCTGCTGCTGGTTCGCCCTGCTACTGTGTTTGCTATTGCTGGGCTGCTGGATATCCTGACTAGGAAGATTGGACCTTCCCCAAGGAACTGTCCCTCAACAGCAGGAAGTACAGAGACACACGCTGCATGGCCTTTCCCCTCTAACCTTTGTCTCCTACCTAGTGTTGGGGGTTGGAAGGGACTAGGGTAGATAAAGGTTGGAACGGAGGTGGAGGTGGAAGAACCTCAATGAAAGAGATTTTAAAATACACCCTATAGTCTTCCATATTCATACAAGAAAACCTGCAAATTGCAAGTAGCTGATTTTTGCTACTTTGTGGGTTCTTTCTTCCACTTTTTTCCACCCTTTTTCCCCACCCTTTGAACCTCCTAACACCAGATAAGAGAAAAAAAGATAAAGCAGAATGGAAAGCGATCCCTGAATAAAGTCGGGTCAGTTAGACTACTTCCTAACCCTGAGTACCTTGGGGCAAATTTGCTCTTCTCCATCAGGATATCTAATTTTTTTCTGTTTTTTTTGTTGTTGTTGTTGTTGTTTTGTGTGTGTGTGTGTGCGTGTGTGTACAACTACTTAAACTAATCAACAACCATCAACAACTCACCACACTTCTAACATTTATATACCTTCTGAAGTCTCCAGAATTCCAAACATTACACAATTACATAAACTATCTGCCTCACAAAGCCATGCTGTGCTAGAGCGTGAGGTAAAAATAGTCAGATGCTGTGAAGCAGCCTCATACCCCACACCAGGGATGATTAAAACAAAAACGTAGCCACAATCCATCTACTCCCACAATGCAGGATCTCATCTCAAGTTTAGGATTGGGACCAGTACATACACGCATGGGGGAGGGGAGCACCCCACATTCAGTTCAGAAAATATGACTGCATAGGGTACAGTTAAAACAAAGTCCTTGGGCCAGGTATGGTGGCACATGCCAACACTTGGGGAGGAAGAGAAAGGTAGATCTCTGTGAGTTCTAGGCCAGCCTGGTCTACAAAAATGAGTCTAAGACAGCCAAGGCTACACATGGAAACCCTGTCTCAAACACAAAAACACAAGAAACAAACAAAAAACTAAAGTCCTTGGTTCTTAAGTGTTTAAGTTTTATTGTCTTTAAATTAGTTTCTGAAATGTGTTTACATTATCTTCCAGAAAAATAACTCTAAAGAGCATAGTCCTTGTTTTAAGAAAGGAAGAATAGAGTAGACCACAGGAGCAGTAGGTTATGACCAACAGCAGGGAATTGCCCTCTTCTTGCTATTCGACAACATGGGTTCTGTGATGTCGCATGAGGTGTGAGTTAGAAATGAACGCTGCACCACACTTTGCACATTCATAGGGCTTCTCCCCTGTGTGGGTTCGCTGGTGGACAGTGAGACTGGACCTCTGTCTGAAGGCCTTACCACATTCGTTACAAGTATAAGGCTTTTCCCCATTGTGGATTCTTTGATGAATGAGAAGGTATGAGCTACAAGTGAAGGCCTTCCCACACTCGTTACACACATAAGGGAGATCTCCACTATGAATTCTCTGGTGGACAATAAGGCAAGAGAGCTGACTGAAGGCTTTTCCACATTCACTGCAGTCATAAGGTTTCTCTGCAGTGTGAATTCTCTGGTGCACAATAAGATGAGAAAAACAACTAAAGGCTTTCCCACAGTCTTTACACTCGTATGGCTTCTCACCAGTATGGCTTCGCTGATGCACAATAAGATTTGCACTCTGGGTAAAGGCTTTGCCACAATCATTGCAGGCAAAAGGCTTCTCCCCGGTGTGAATCCTTTGATGGACAATGAGGTTAGAGCTTCTAGTAAATGTCTTTCCACATTCATTGCACTCATAGCACTTCTCAGTTATATGGACTTTCTGGTGCCGAGCAAGTTGAGAACTGTAACTGAAGGCTTTCTCGCATTCACCACACTTGAAAGTTTTTTCTAAGGAGTGAATTTTTTGGTGTACAGTCAGATTGGAACTCTGAGTGAAAGCCTTCCCACACTTTCCACAAACATAGGGTTTCTGTCCAGTGTGGATCCGTTGATGCACAACAAGGTTTGCACTCTGAATGAAGGCTTTCCCACACTCATGACACTCAAAGGGTTTCTCCCCTGTGTGGATCCGTTGATGCACAACAAGGTTTGCACTCTGACTGAAGCCTTTCCCACACTCCCTACATGTAAAAGGCTTTTGCCCAGGCTGTATTTTCTGATTCTTAACAGGGCCAGAACTAAGGCCGTATTTTCCCCTAGACTTCTTAGATTCCTGGTCTTCCTCTTTGAAGCTTTCAGACAACAGACAGTCTTTCACTGTCACTTTTCTGAAATCTCTTTTCCCCCTCTTTATTCTCTGCCTTTTTAACATGTTTCCCTTCTCACAGGATTCTCCTAGCTCAGGTCCTTGAAGGTCACCTTTCTGGAGTCTTCCTAAAATCATGGAGGGCATTTCTGCTTCATCACATATCTCTGTTTTAGGAACCAATAACTGTAGGTTCTTGGTTTCAGTACCTGTACCGAGAAACAGAAAATAGAAATGTTAGTTTCTCAGGCCTAGAAAAAAACAAACAAACAAATAAAAAAACAGGCTCATCAAAGTCAGGAAATTAAAGGACGTCACTTTCCAAACTAACTTTCATTAGCGAGGGGAATGCCATGGCCTCTGCTGGGTCTGTGCTCTGCCATACACTTGTCTTCACCAGATTCTATTATGGCTCCAGTATGACTGTCACAGGTAAGGCCATCTGCTAAATGTTTGCCTCTACCTAGTGGTGCTCTGGGAGAAGGTCTGGAAACCTGAGGCCCTGGCCTTGTTCTGCCTGAGATGATTGATCTCCCACACAATCCTGCCGTCATGTTCTGTGCAAACTACTCTGAATTAAAAACCTCTGGTTATCGTAAACTGAAAGAATTCCCATCTCTAGTCCTGTCAACACCACCAGACACTTATCTAGAGCAACAGGCCCAAATGCTAGACAGGGCTCACAACTGTGAATTCTGAAGGATAGCTGCAGCTTGCCTTTGTTCTTGAGCTGCTAGTGTGGATCAGCACAGAACTGATCAGTTAATTATGGAAAATCCCTACAAACAAAAGACCTCCCAATGTAGGCTTTTGTGTGTGTGTGAACGCTAGATCACAAAGAAAGGATAAAACCTGGGCGTGGTGACACACACCTGTAATCGCAGCCATTGGGTAGCACAGAAAAAAGGATTGCTGTGAGTCACCCTGGTCTACAGCAAGTTTCAGGAGAGTCAAGGTTAAACAGAGAGACTGTCTAAAAAAACAAACCAGGCCAAAAAACAAAAAACCCCACCAAGGCTGGAGAGAGGTCCAGCAGTTAGGGACACTGGCTTCTCTTCTAAAGGACTTGGGACTTCTAATGCCAAACACTCTATAGCCAACCTACAACCAGAGACCCAGTAAGTTTTCCCATCAATATCTATCTTTCTTCCTTTCACTCTTCCCCCCCCCCCCACACTCCCCTGGTGCAGAGGATTGAGCAAAGTCCATGTGTTAAATGTGCTCTACATTTTGAACTTTCACTTTTCAAAAGATTTGGGATCTGCATGATGGCTTTAGGTGGTCCAAGTCCTTCCTACTCAACCCACGTAAAAGTGGAGGAGCAAAACTGACACCACAAAATTGTCCTCTGAGCTCTATATGTGCATTGTGGCGTGGACACACACACATATACATACAGTAAACAAAATTTAATCAAAAAGATCTCAGGTGGGCATAATAGTATATATCTGTGATACCATCTGGGAACAGAGGCAGAAGGTTCAAGGTCAGTCTAGAGTACTTGTGGGCCCTAAGCAACAAAACAGGATTTGAAATCTACATTAAGCCAGCCTTCCAAGCTACTTTTTGTACTCTTGAGAAATGAAGCATAATCTTTCTCCTGTAAGACATTTCTGGCCATGTAAATACATTCCCAACTCTCATTTACAAGTCAATTATGGGCTGGGCAACGAGACCATCTCAAAAAAGAAAACAATAACAAAGATGCAGAGCATAATATCCTTCATGTGCAATTTATGAATAACCATAAAACACAGAAAGACATGGCGTTACCTGTGTACAGATATAAAGTGCTGAGGAATGATTACGATTAAAAAGTGAATTTAGAATTTACTATTTGGTGTTTAGTCCGTATAAGTCATTCACTGAACAGCACATGAGCAGCTCTCAAAGATGACACATTCAATACTAAGTGATCTAAAAAGAAAGGCCAGCCCCCACCCACACATTTAGTGCAACTGAGGTCAGGGAGTTGAACTTTACCCAGTGGGGTTGGGTTCCCAGGAGGCTCCAGGACTTCACTCTTGGCCAGGGTCCCTGTTAGTGCGTAGCTCCCACGGGATGCAGCAGCAGCAGCCTCCTGTGTTGCTTTTAGGACCACTGCCATGTCCCAGAACATCTTCTGGCCCTAGAAACAAGTGCGCACAGTGTTTATAAGGGGCTGGCGACTGAAGTGCTGTGATCACAGCTCTGAGGATGAGAGCACGTTCCTGGAGATCACAAATATTGGCTAGGAGTCTTGCCCAACTCCCCACGAGACCTGGGTGGAGAAGCCAGGCCACCACCTTTCAAACTCACTGAACTCGACACACACATCCTTATCTGTTAGTGAGTCCTAGCTTAGACAAGTAGGGGGCGTGGCATCAAGCACTTGCCTCACACTACAGAAATTAGGTGTGCTGGCACAGACCTGTAAGCGAACGCAGGAGGACCACATTTTTAAGGTCACCCCCAGTTAACAGTTTGAGGGCAGCACTGGGGCAGATTTTTCAGCACAATTTTCTGGGCCCCAAAGATCACACCAAGGTTCTGACTATTCTCTCATAGAGCGCTCTGAGAAGACCTTTGAACAAAACTGGGTGGTGTTTGAAACCATTAAGGGAAAGCCAAAGTGTAGCAATGCATGCTCTTAATTATAGCACATGGGTACTGAAGACAGAGGCTCAGGAATTCAGGCCTGAGCCATTTGCCTATAGATGAGTAGTATTTGTAGAACATCTCCTAAACCCAAATTATGCTTTAACAAGACCCCAGTGGCAGACATTAACCAAGGTAAGGCACTGGATGGAGTCACCTGAGGTGTTTGTGAAAACACAGAAAGCAGGTCTTAGTCCCCAGAATCTGGTCTGATTAGAATACAATACAATGTGGACAACAAGATACTGTAAAGCTTCAGAGTTCTATGGAGCAATGGTTGCAAGCTGCAGAGGTACAGAACACCAACATGTCCACCAGAGGGAAATTCTACTACATTCCAAAGGAAAAAGGTCAGAGCCCTCAGCAGGAAAGGAGTCTGGACTTGGCAGCAGAATGCCTATAAAACCATCTGAGGTCCGCACTTCTCTTTTCCCCGACATCATTACCTTGTCCTCCCCTTCTGACACATCAATGCTTAAATAAGGACCTTCCCCTGGAGCACAGACAGTGACATTCTCAGGGTACACTTGTTGGCTGGATGCCTGACTTCCGACACTTTCATCCTCATCGTCTTCCTTTTTCACCTTCACTGGGCCCCAAGAGGATCTGCCCATGGTCTCTTTAAATTCTGCAGTCATCTTCTCTGTTCAAAGGGGGATCTTCAATAGCTGAGGGACACCCAACATCGGTCAACCCCATCTAATCCTCAAGTCTCCAAAGCTTTTGAGTTTCTTCCCAGCGCTAAGATAAGCACCATTCGCTGCAAAACCAGAGAGCACACTCAGCACAGAATACAGCTTTGTCTGGATAACAGGAAGCCCAGCAGTTGACATTGCCAGCTCTTGGGCAGGTCACAGCAGAGCAGGGCTGTTCTCTCCCCTGACTTTAAATACAGGGTAACAAAACATGTATAAGCCACTTTTCATTAGGATTAAAAACCAACATTTTGCCTGCTGTGGTGGTACACACCTCTGTTCCCAGCACTCCAAGATCTCTTGGATCTCCCAGCACTCTTGGATCCCAGATCCAAGCTGAGGCTTGGTCTACATCATAGGCCATCCAGGGCTGCACAGTAAGACGCACTATCAAAAAAAGGGAAAAAATAAAGAACTGCAAAAACTTTAAAACAGAGAAAGATCAAGGAAAAACTCCAATCCAGTGATAATAGTCACTATTATAGTAAAATAATTATTTTACTTAGTTTGTTTTAACTATGGGGACACATGTTTTCAGAATTAGACTGTTTTTTTTTTGTTTTGTTTTGTTTTTGTTGTTGTTGTTGCTCTGTTTTTCGACACAGAGTTTCTCTGTGTAGATTAAGCTGGTCTTCCTATCAGAGAAGTAACTGCATCTGCCTCCAGGGTGCTGTGGCTGAAGGCGTGTGTCCACACTGCCTGGCTGGCCAGATTTCTTTAAAAAGGGACATTACAAAGAGTTATTACTAAGGAGAAATGAAGGATTATCTCAGAGAGTATAATTACAAATATTTTTAAGGTTCTTTTTGTCTGTTTGATTTTTATAGTTCACACATCTCCCAAATTTTGTAAGAACAACTATTGTTGTTCTTGAACAACAAATTATTCATGTTGACCTTGTTTATCTTATTTTTGTTACACAATCATAGCTTTGAGTCTCACTTAGGTTGGAAGAACACGTGTGTTCTCTGCATACACTCACATGAACAAACACAAGAGGTAGTGACCAGATTAGGTGCCAGCATAGTTCCCGTGTGTGCACCTTTGTTTGCACTTGCACAGGGTTCCCCACTCTGCTCTGGTGGGTTCTGCTGTTGATGTTGCAACGCTGGGAATACAGCCAAAGGCCTAATGCATACCAGACAATGCTCCACCACTGACGTACACCCTCAGCCACAACCATCTCTTGACTCAAATGAAGTCTTCCAATATACAGAACATATAGACCTCATTAGTTGTTCCTAACCATACCCTGTTTACAACGTTCTTTAATGAACAGGGGCTTTACTGCTTATTTTGATAATATTTGATAATAGCTGTTTCCTGTACAAATCATTCTTTTGTCCTGTTGCATTATTCCCCTAGAATGAACTGCGAGGTCACTAGCTTAAGGGTTTATATTTATTGTCGAATTGCTTTCTAAAACACCACATAAAGCCAGGTACACAACTACTAATCAACAGGACCTCTTTATCTCCAATAAGCCCACAACAGTCTTTTATTTTAAATAAGCCAAGTAATCTTAAGTGGGTATAAGGAGATTGAATTTTTGGTTCAATTCCTCTTTGGTTCTGTTACTAGAAATTGGTGCAACTTTTTACTCAGTTCCCTTACGCTGCTTTCGGAGTAACCACACTCAGTTTCCCAACGTTAACTTTATTGTGCACACTGAAATCCTCAAGGAATGCCGTGCTTTTCACGCTGCAGCAAATCCTAACTCTGGCGGGTTACTCTGCGTGACGGTTCAGTCTTCCTGGCAGGAAAGCCTCGGAGACGCGTTCTACCATGTGCCCACGCTCAATTGTCTTCGGGCCAGACTCCGCGGGCCGGTCGCCGGAGCAGGCCGGGGCCGCGAGCCCAGGCGCCCCACCCCATCCCGCCAGCAGCCCCGCCCGCCCCGCCGAGCTACCTCCCGGCCCCGCGAGGCGACGGTCGGTGGAAGCGAGCTGCTCCTCTCGCCGCGGACGCCCGGCGGCCCAGCGCCAGCTCTGCGGACGGAGGCTGCAGAGCCTCCCGGCAGCCGCCGGCACAGACAATGACCGGACAGGAAGTGCCCGGCGGCGGGCTTCCGGCTCCCGGCCGCGGGCCGGCCTCTCTAGGAAGCGGGAAGGCCGTGCGCTCCCGCACCTCCGCAGAGCCTGGTGCTGCGGAGGCAGCGCCCCACCCGGCAGGGCCGTTCTCGCAAGGCGAACACGCACCCAGCGCGGCCAAGTGTAAACACCCTGACAACCGCAGAAAACTCCCACACGTTTTTGTTTTCAGAATGTCGAACGCTACAGAACAACTGAAGGACTGATGCAGAGAATACTCCATCCTTCATCCGGACACTATTTGCCTTAATTCTCATATATATAATTAAAGTCAGTTTTGGAAAGTATAAACATTAAAACTCTTTTTTTCCAAGTATTCAGTATATATCTCTTAATAACATACTCCAAATAACACCATCATTGCCAATAAGAAAAATGAACAACTATTCAGATTCAGGTGTATTCATCTGTCTTAAAATATTTCAAACCCCTCAGGGTGGTGGTGCACACTGTTAACCCCTGCATTCGGGAGTCAGTCTGGTGGATCTGGGTACGCTGGAGGTCGGCCTGGTCTACAAAGTGAGTTCCAGGTTAGCCAGGGCTACACAGAGAACCTGGTCTAAAAAACAAGAATCAAATCAACAACAAAACCTACAAAAATTTCAAAATTGCTCTCTGCAGATGAATTTCACAATACTACAGTTGAGGCTTTTTTGGTTTGTGTGTTTGAAAGGATAAACGCACCTGAAGGCAGTACCCTTCACTCCTGTCTCCTCAGTGGGTGAATCTTACAGTGTTAAGCCAAGGATCGGTGGCTCACGTCTGCGATCCCAGAGGCTGTGACCCCAGATGAGCGGCTGTGGCTGGAAGGTCACAGGAGTCTGAGGCCGGCTATTACATGGGTAAGACTCCACAGGATAGGTGTGCAGATTATACGGGTGCAGGGAATGGAACCTGGATCCTCTGCAAACACCAGACATGCACGGTTCGAACTGAGAAGCCTCCTCTCCAGCCCCAATTTGGAATCTTTTGAAACTTTTTATATTTTCATGTATGTCGGTGTATGCATGCCACATATAGGAAGGTAGCTGTCCCAAGAGGCTTCAAGAGGGCACCAGATTGTCTGGCGCTGGTGTTGCAGCGCCGTGACCTGAAGTGTGGGTGCTGGGAACCAAACGCAGGTCCTCTGCAAGAGGAGCAAATGCTCCTAACCACAAAGCTCTCTCTCCAGCTTCCACCGCCGGACCCCACCCCTGCTTTATTTTTAGTCTATTCTTAGAGTTCTAATCCAATTCCTCTTACACAAATGAGTATCTTTGCAGTAATTCCGATATAAGGTTGCAAGATACAAAGTTACTATATAAAAAAAAATCAGGTTTTAGCTAGGTATGGTGATGCACACTTTTAATCCCAGCACTCAGGAAGCACAAGAAGAAGGAACTCTACGAATCTGAGGTCAGGATGGTTTACATATTGAATTCTAGGGCAGCAAGGGCTACATAGAGAGACTCTTGTTCCTAAAGCTTCTGCCCTTCTCCAGAAAGAGAATCTAAACAGCCCAGGCCCAGGTGAGGTTTGCATCCTCATTCCAAAACAAAACCAAAACAAAATAAAACAAGAAACCAAATAATAACAAATAAACAATTTTTTTAACAAAGGAAATAACTAATTTCCTTACCATACAAATTAGGTAGCAATACAGAATACTTGCAAAATGTAATAAGAGAAAAACACAGGGTCAACTTTATGTTGTAGTAAATAAAAAAAGCTTTTGGGCTACATAATGTTTATTATTATCCCTAAGATTATCACGGCAGTATTGTCTAACCTGCTATCACAAATAATAAAACACAGGCACCTGTTAGATTTTATAACTGCCTTATTTACCTTGGGCTGGGCAGATACTCCTACATATGCTGTCTGAATACCCTCACCATCCATCTCCTAGCCCCCATCCAATGCCATCCATCTTAATCCTTCCTATTTGGACTACCTTCCATTCATAATCCCAAGATACTTGCTTGTATTCTTCATCTGGGCCTTTTCACACCATTATTGGAGTCCTTTTTCTCAGTTCATGTGGTTTCTTCTTCAGGCTAACCCATGGTACAGTCCTCCATCTTCCTCTCTTTTCCTGTCTGTCTGTTTGGAGTTCTCCTTCTTCCTCTTTTCCCATCTGTTTTTCTCCCATGATCCTCTCTTGAACCCCAAAAGCCTGGGAACCTTAACCACGCCTACCCCATTCTGTCCTGCCCAGGTATAGGCTGTTTAATCAACCAATCAGGTATGTGTTACAGAGGTTTACAAAAAAAATTTTTTTTAATTAAAAAAAAAAAAGGACAGGTGTAGCCAGATCTTGAGGGCCAGTAACATGCATCAGACCAACCTACAATAGCATTATAAATTCACATACACACTTGAGCAGTGTGAGAACAGCAGCAATGAGCTGGCACGATGGCACACACATTCAATCCCAGTACTCAGCAGGCAGAGGATCTCTGAGATTGAGACCAGGCTGATCTACAGAGTGAGTTCCAAGTCTGCCAGGTCTACACAGAAAAACCCTATCTCAAAAAGTAAAAACAAAACAAACAAAAATCTCAAATTCACTTTAAAAATCAAAAGAGAATAAATGTTGTCTGTCTAATATTCTGCTTCCCAAAGCTGATGCTTGTTGCAGGACATTTGATCTCACTGTGAACCCTGGAGACTGTGAACTGTAAAAACCTGTTTCTTGTTTGTTGTGGCTTAGCCCTAACACACATACCTTTAACCCAAGAGCTTTCTGTTTACAGTGAACAAGTCCTTATTTCTCAGTCCTATAACAAACCTTTAATCCAAGACCTAATTAAATCAACCCTAGGTCAAGAGGCAAAGCAAGAAACCGGCTGACAGGGATTATACAGAAAGGATGAACATTGAGAGAAGGGTGCTTACGACAGTGTGGAAAAGAAGAAAGGACTTTTGGCTCTTTCCTTCTGGGACATCTGCTGAGTAGGAAGGTCAGGTGGGTGCTTTCTCTGCCTCTCTGAGCTAGCAGGCTTTCACCCTAATACTAGCTCCTGAGTTTATTGGTAAAAGTGAATGACTGGGATTTTCTTCTTTATAACAAAAGCTACATTTACAATAATAATGGTCATGACTGGGAAATACAACAGAAGTCCAGTGAACTGCAGGTGAGAATCGTGGGAGGGAAGGGCACTAACCCAAAGAGGTCACATTCCCATAATCCCCAGGATCATGTTTCAGGAGAGACTGGCAGAACCACGGGAACACATGCTACCCCTTGGACTGGGTTAAGGAGGCATGGAAGTAGGAGGCAGTAAACAGGGGCTTGGGGTTAACTTCAGACCAAGTTTGGGTCAATCACATAGCTTCTACCCACTTAGGCTTTTACCTAGGCCTTCCTGTTTTGCTACAGGTGTCACTGGGAGCAGGGCATGACGCATGGACTCACAGCCCTGGCACTTGGGAGGCCGAGACAGGAGGACCTTGACAAATTTCAGACCAAACTAGAGTACATAGTGAGTTCAAGGCCAGCCTGGTCCACACAGCGAAACATCTCAAACAAGAAGTTGCACTGTCATGGGCGCCTATATATTTGGCTTTGTTTCCAGCTATCAAAGCTAGAGCAATGCAAGGAACACTCCCTACCTCAGTTTCCTTGTCTTGTAAAGAAGGTGCACTGATAAGTTATAATTAGATACACAGTTTTATTCTAATACAATAAACAAGCCTTTCCATGATGCCTGCTACTGCTGCCATCTGAGTTATGCTTCAAACTTCCTGTATAAAAGTCTGAGCTACAGACTGAGGGAAAGAAATCAAAGATCAAAATGCAAATTAGATATGCATGAGACTATCATAATGAAATATTTTTGATAACAAACATAGACTGGCTTTTTAAAAAGTGCAGTGCTTAGGCGCCCTTCCTGCTCTCCCAGCGCCCACCTCAGATGGCTCACGGCTGCCTGCACATCCATCTTCAGAGGACCAATGGCCCACATGTGGCCATATTCATACAGACACACACATAATAAACACGAATCTTATAAATGACAACATTGCCAAGGTTCCAATCTAAAGGTCAAGGGTTTTTTCAGAAGCACGTAGCTCAGCTAAACACAGGTTTTACCCAATCCCCAGTGAGGGTACACAGAGCAGGTCTCACCCTATCTGGAAAACAGCATTCTCTCTTCTCTCTCTCTCGGTTCTTTTGTGTGTGAATCGTCCCTCTGGAGCCGTAAGGACAATGGAGACAGGTCCTGCACCTGTGGGAGTGCTGCTGAAGTACACCGTCACACAAACATGCCTGCGGCCTACACAAAGGCCGCAGTGAGATGGCTTTATCCAGTGGCTAAAGAGCTCTGATTTAGGTCTTTATGAAAAGGAGCTTAACATTGGATCAATCACTTCTTCATGCTAAGCACAGCCAGCTCCTAAAAGTGGCTAAAACTGCTTTATTTTCATTCTTTTTTTTTATTATTACACTTTATTTACTTTGTATCCCCCTGTAGCTCCCTCCCTCCGAGCCGCCCAATCCTTCCCTTCTTCCTCCTTTTGCACGAATGCCCCTCCCCAAGTCCACTGGTAGGGGAGGTCTTCTTTTCCTTCCTCTGATCCTAGTCTGTTAGGTCTCATCAGGAGTGGCTGCACTGCGCCACTCCTCTGTGGCCTGGTAAGGCTCCTCCCTTCTCAGGGGGAGGTGATCAAAGAGCAGGCCAATCAGTTCATGTCAGAGACAGTCCCTGTTATTTTCATTCTTAACGGGGCAAAAATAAGAGGAAAAGGCCATGACTTACAAGAAAAGATGCTCATTGAAGGAGTGACCACTACTTCTGGCAAAAATATTGACTCTGGTTTTATAATATTAGAGGGGTTATAGTTAGCCTGCTAACTTAAAACAAATCCAACAATGTGAGCACTGGTTTTTTTGTTTACACTGAACATTTTAGAATGGAGGTTTGGTGTAGGCACAAGGTTATTGTGTAATTCAAATGCTGATTTCTGGGTCCCCCATATCTGGTTGTAATCCTTTTTCTGAGAATCACTCTGTCTCAATGTTGTGAAAACACTGCTCTCCAATTGTCCTCTGATATCTCAATAGACTTCCTGCCAGCCAGGGGAGGAGTCAGAGGAGGAAGTAGGAGATTCAGCCACCAAAATGACTTCAAGAGAAGGCACTGGAGCAAAAAAGGTGCAAAGTGCAAGTATTTCTGGGATATATACTGTGAGAAAGCCAGATTAGTTTAGAGGGTTAAGAACAGAGTAATAAATACTCAGTTATTGTGTTGTGATGCTTATTATTAAACAAACATAAAAGATTCTCAATTATTTGTGTGATAGCTGGGCTAAGAGAAAAACTAAGAAACACAGTTTTGTAAAAATAACTTTAAGTTTGTCACTGTGGATAAAGAGCTGCAATGAAAGTTAGTCTTGTGTGATTTACATACCATTACTCAGCTCTTTGGTTTCAATTTCTTCCAAGTAAGATGTATAATATGCACCATCTAGAATGCAGTACACACTAGTTTTTAAAAATCCTCTAATCACAGGGAGAATACATTCTAGCTTTGTCTTACAGACTTCCCTTTAATCGAAGCCATATAAAATGGTATTTTGGGGGATGGAGTGATGGCTCAACAGTAAAGAACACTTGGCTGTTCTTTTCTTTCTTTCTTTCTTTCTTTTTTTTTTGCTTTGTAAAAGTATCTTTTTGGCTGTTCTTACAGAGGTCCCAGGTTCAATTCCCAGTACCCACATGGCAGCTCACAACTGACTGTGACTCCAGCTTCGGGAGATCAACACCCTCACACAGACACACATGAAGCAAAACCTCCAATTCACATAAAATGAAAACCAGTAAATCAATTTTTAAATGATATTTTGTTACCCATTTTCCTCTCAACGAGACTGTTTGTTTTTTTTGAGAGAGGGTTTCTCTGTGTAGCCCCAGTCGTCCTTGAACTCAGAGATGCCGCCTACTTCTGCTTCCCAAGTGCCGGGATTAAGAGTGTGCCGCCACCGACAGTTAAATATATTCACTTTTATTCCACACAGTGTGTCTACACCATCAGGATGTTTAGGGCCAAAAAAAAAAAAAAATTACCTCTTCATAGTCTTTAGGGACCAAAACTGTGCTACACAAGAAGCTAGAGATGAAGCCAAGCTAAATAATACAGTTTCACAACAGAACTCATTTCTAATGGAAAATGGAGAATAACAGAAGAGAGGTGTATGGGTTGAAGAAGATCAACACTAGAAACTGAAGAACTGTGCACGAATCCCTGTTGCTACAGAATTCACACCGTTCCACAAATCAAAGAAAATATGTCCCTGAGTTCACAGGCAAGACAGTAATCAGCACCATGTGTTAAAGCTCAAGCGGGGAAGCCTTCCAGGGAAAATGCAGCCAGTTCGACGCATACAGAAGGGCATTTTTCTGGCAGGGTACAAGGACTGCTGTCGACATTCACTCCTGCAGCCCAAGGCAGGCACGGGCCTCCGCAGGGCCTCAAGAGGGTACAACCTCAGGCTCGCTGCAGCAGGAAACACAAAGATGTCAGGATGCAGACCTTCAGGCATGACAGGGCATGCAATCCTCTCTACAAAGCGTGTAGTTTTAAGTAAATCGCAAGGTCTTTCTAGGAAAGCCATCTATTTGAAAAGGTACTTCAGACTTTGTGCCATGGATGGAAATGATGAGCAGCGATTAGAGGCTATCTGCTCAGACATACAGAAGGCCACAGCAACTGCTCAGGGACACATGTTCCTGAATGCAGCCATTCTGCACCAGACCTGCAAACTCTGCTTTGAGTAAGTAAGCGGAGACTATTGTATCACAAAATTATATGTAAACTATCTTATCAAAGGAGAACAAAACCAATCCCTTTTTTTGTTTTTTTTGAAACAAACATACAACCTCCACATCTCTTCACTGCAAACTGAAAACGAAATTAAGATGATCAAAAACAGGCCACGAATCTCAGAGAAGATAGCACTTTCTCTGTCAGACTTTAGCCAGTAACTGTCCAGATCGGGGAGGGACTTCCCAGAACTTCTGTCCTCCCTTTCACATATGGAATCACGTTAGCAAAGGTGCTTTGTGTAATTAGGAAAAATGAAATTCAAAGACAGATTTGAGATCAAATCCTGGCTCTAACCACTGACTAGCCGGTTATCTAACAACATGGAAACTCAAATGCCTTATACAAGTAAAGGCAGAATTACATGAGATATCATTTCCTCACTAACTTTTGAAAGGACTGCTCACACGAGACAAACAGTATTGACTTATGGAATTTATTATATACAAAAAGAATTAGTAATAGAGAGATGCTAAATATAGCTAGGCAGATTCTGAACTAGGGGATTGAAAGTTTTGATAGTGACTAAAGATAGGCTAAAACCTTCCTTAAGCTTGCAGTAAAGATGGGGTGTTACAAGCAAGTGGCATAGGGGTTGGCCAGGTCTCACATTCAATACTGGGAAATCCGGTTGCATTTGTAATAGCATACTGTCCCATTTGAGGAAACATGTTGTTTGTTTTTTAATAGTAATAAGCTATATAAAGATGTTCTGTTCTGGGGCTGGAGAGATGGTTAAGAGCACTGGCTGCTCTTCCAGAGGTCCTGAGTTCAATTCCCAGCAACCCCATCGTGGCTCACAACCATCTGTAATGAGATCTGGTGCCCTTTTCTGGTGTGCAGGCATACATGCAGGCAGAACCCTTTATACATAATAAATCTTGTTCCATCCCTCGCACCCGATCTTTGGAGAAGCTGTATGAAGAAGCATGCAGCTGTGGCCCATGGCTTGCAACTATGAGATAATGAAAAATGAAAACAATCTGATAAAACATGTATGGGGTTATTGCAAGTCTGAGGAACTTCTGAGTTACAAAAACAAGTACAAACTGCTTAATTCTAGACTACCTCCTCAAAAACAAACACAAAAAGAAAAACAAAAAACAAAAACAAAAAAACCTGAATATTTTAAAGATGTAAGCTATTACTGGAATCCTGAAAATATCCTAAATGCTACATCTCTTAAGTTATTTGATTTCTCAAGTGTTCAGAAACATGGCTCCAATAACCGTCACAAGAGCTGTTTGTTTCTGCCATGTACCAGGGTTGGCATCGTCTCACTTTATCCTCATGGGAACCCTCTGAGGTGAACAGTCTAGTCTGAGCAGCAAAGTCGTTTGTCCAACGTGGGTAGGTTGGCACTCGGCAAGTGGGCAGGACCGGATCTCCTGGACCAGCTGTATTTCATCCACTCACCCCACATAACATGATGAAGGCAAAGTTCTCCACTTTCTAGTTTTTGAGTCTACAATTTCTCCAGCTCGTTAAGAGAAAAACTCGCCCCCCTCCAATGTCTAGACATCTGCTGGAAGAACGGCGCTCAAGCAGCTGTCCATCACGTGGGGATTCTTTATCACACAGGAAAAGGAGGTGCACTAATTTTCCCTGCTGCGCTCTTCTAACCTAGCGGTAATGACAGAGTCCATGCATCTCAAAACTGCCGAGAACACAGGCAGTGCCAGTTTCATTAATAGGAACTGGATTCAAAAATAAATGGATTTGCTCATAATTCCACTTCCCCTGAGTGCCAGTATTAGGGAGAATCCCAAGGTTGTTGTTTTTGTTCTGAGACAGGGTTTCTCTATGTAGCCCTGGCTGTCTTGTCCTGGGTCTTGGTTTGTAGACCAGGCTGGCCTTGAACTCACAGAGATCCATCCGCCTCTTTCTCTGTCTCCTGAATACTGGGATTAAAAGAGTGTGCTACCACCGTCTGGCAGAATCCCAAGATTTTTCAGACTACCTAACAGGTACTTTTCCTACCAATACTAAATACAAATGAATATGTACTCATTTAAAATAGATCATAATTTTTCTTAAATATAAAAGTAATGAATGCTTTCATTGTAGAAAATCTAGAGATCATAGAAAAGTATACAGAATAAAATAAAAATCACCTACAACCTATCACCCAGAGATAATCATTGTTAAAATTTAGATTTAGTCCTCTTGCTCTTTTCTTGTTTTTCCTAGGCATAAGTATTTTGTCTGGCTAGTTCATTTTTTCATTTTCCATTGTATCCAGAAATTTCTCCCAGGGCGTACATGAAAGTCCTTTAGGAACAGGAGCTTCAGAAACTTGATGTAGCAGCCTGCCAATCCCTCATGCTGCACGTGCAATCACCTAGTTCTGGTGGCTTTGTTTGTTTCCTCCTCCAGTTAGGTACGATGCATGAATATCCACTTTTTTAAACTCTAGGCACTTATTACTTTCCCTGTATGGATTCTTAGAAGCAGAATTGTTTGTTGTTATTAAAAATCTAGTTTTCAGAAAAGTAGCAATTAACATTATTGCCAATTTTTCTTTTTTTCCTAAGACAGGGTCTCACTTTGGCCCTGGTTTAGTCTAGAACTCATTATGTAGACCAGGCTGGCTTTAAACTCACAGAGATCTCCTCGTCAGTGCCTCCGAAATGCTGGGACTAGTGTGCCCTCACACCTGGCTGGTAAATAATAGGGTTTCTTTGTCTTCGTTATGTTTCCTTTGATGTTGAATAAGTTGTGAGCTGTAGCGGTAGGCTTTCCCACACTCGACACATTTATATGGCTTCTCTTTGGTATGGGTTCTCAAATGTAAAATGACTTGAGATGTCTGCCTGAAAGTTTTCCCACACTCGTTACATTTGTAAGGTTTCTCTCCAGTGTGAACTCTCTGATGATCTATAAGGTTGCGGTTGGAAGTGAAAGCTTTCCCGCACTCGTTGCATTTGTAAGGTTTCTCTCTGCGGTGGAGTCTCTGGTGTTCATTAAGCGCCTTCCTCAACAGGAAGGCTTTTCCACACTCGTCACACTCGTAGGGCTTCTCCCCGGTGTGAATCCTCTGATGGTCCATAATCTTTGTATTGGAACCACATGTCTTCCCACACTCTTTACACTTGTAAACCTTTTTTCCTCTGTGCATTCTCTGGTGTTGAGTGAGGTTTGAACTCCTACTAAACGCTTTCCCACACTCCACACAAGTGTAGGGCTTCTCACCAGTGTGAACCCTGTGATGAGAAATAAGTCCTGAACTCCGACTGAAAGCTTTCCCACACTCCTTACATCCGAATATTTTCTCTCCACTGTGGACGCCCTGGTGCCGAATGAGGTGTGACTTACCACTGAAGGCTTTCCCACACTCACTACATGTGTAGGGCTTCAGGCCAGTGTGGATTCTCCGATGGACCACAAGGTTGGAGCTGTGACTGAATGCTTTCCCGCATTCCTTACACTTGTAAGGCTTCTCTCCTGTGTGGATTCGCTCGTGCACGGTGAGGTTGGCGCTCTGACTAAAGGCTTTTCCACACTCAGTACACACATACTGTCTCTTTTCACCATGACCTCGCTCATCTGTGGCAGAGTCACAGCACTGACTACCATCATCTTCACAATCTTGGTCACTCCCTCCTCTGGCTGATTTACTATCTTCAAACGTCGTACGTTTGAACTTTCTCGTCTTTCTCCTCATCTTGTCCTGCTAGGGGCATTCCAGTGGCTCTCCTAGTCTTGTCTTTTAGAATTTTTTTATTTTCTTGGCAACACTTATGTGGAATTCTCTTGAGGGCAGCATGTGATTCTGATTTTTCAGGAATGACTTAGAATGATAGCTCCATTAGAATGATAGTCCATTTCACCATCTGCCAGGAGAAAGAGGAAATGCGCGTGCCCCAGTTTCTCTGTAACAGGGTAAGAATTATTCAAGGAAGACAAGATGTAGTAGATCACAGGATCTCAAGTGGAAGGGTGAGTGTTCAAGAGCAGAGCACTGTTCAAAATGATGAGAAAAGTGAAGTTAGACAAAAGGGGAAGTTAACGGCAGACAGAAGTGAAGACGAGCCCAGCAGACCCAGGCTCGGAACACACAATGAGCAGTGTGCAATCCACTCTGCAAAATACCCGAGAGGCCGGGTCAAGCATAAGCAAGCACCAGGAAAACGTGCAGCGAAAGGTCCTCGGTTGGCGGAAATACCTACAGCTCAGACTGGTCTGGCTTCTGCGTCTTGCTGCACTATTTCCTTAAGCAACAGTGGAGCAATGACTGGCATACAGCAAATGCTCAGAACTACAGAATAACAACTAAGATTGTTTTAGGGAACAACTGAAGTTTGGTCTTTCTCTTGAGGTTTGGGCAGCAGGCCTCAGCCCATATCTCTGTATTTAAGCTGCTTAGTGGCCAGTCACACCATCCTTCTAATACTGATCCTTCTAATACTGAAGCTACACAGCATGGCTCTCGGGCCTTTCCTGAGGCTAGAGCCAGCTTTTCCTGCTAGTTTCAGGTGTCTGTTTTTCAGCATGTCAGACATTCTGAAAATGAAATCTAGTGTGTAAACTTGAAAGGCTAAATTTAGGGAGTGGGTTTAAGAGCAACAGGATCTCTGCCAGGACTGTGCATGGTCTAACAGTTAAGTCCCAAAGATGGCAAAGAGAGTAAGGGGCAACCAGGGGCCATAAGGGCCCAGTAAGGGCTGAGACATACAGGTATATACTGGGAATAACCAGGGATTTTCCAATATCTGGACACAATTCTGCAATGGGTAGGTAACCTGTGCAAACCTCAGTCTGGAGGAGCTGAACCATGGGAGCACAGACAGGTGACAGCTGACACTAATGCACGAGCACAACTCCCCACATTGTGCTGGCTTTCAGGCTATGGACACACTGCTGAACAGTCGAACATGCACAAGATAGACTCTCGTACCCTACATTCTTAACCTCATTTAGTGAAAACTGTAGTAAAAGAGCTCTGCCTCAAAAAAAAGCTAAAAATAAAAATTCTGTGTCTTCATGGTGTGTTTTCTCATGTGTACACGTTTCGTAATCGTTACGTGAAGCCAGGGTAACCATTTCCTTAAGTTTATGTAGCAACAGCTTTTAAAATCTACTCCTTTAGGGATTAAAGTACACAACATGCTGTTATAACCATAATCAACGATTTTCTTGAGCTTACTCTTCTGTCAAATAAAAGTTGTCCTCTCACTAGCATCCCTAAAACGTAATAACAGTCACTGTGAAGAGAACCACAGTGCCCCTGTGGAACTCCAGGAGGAAGACGGGCTAAACCAAAGAGATGGTTCAGTGGTCTCTCCTTGTTGCTCTTGCAGAGAGGACTAGGGTTCAGGTTCAGGTCATGGCACCTAGACAGCAGATGACAGTGGGGCCCTCCAGTGTCGGAAGACAGGCCCCCTCTTCTGCCCAATATAGGCACTGCACGCACAGATTTTCAGGCCTTCATTCATGCATACAGAGCAAATAATAAACTCTCAAAAGTAAAATACATAAATAAATAAAAAAAGGGCTACTGTGAGGATCTGACTGAAAGGAAACCCAGCTGTTGCCTCCCGTGCTTCCCTCAGACGTCGGAGAATTCCCAGGCAGTCTGAAGAGAGTGTTCGAGAAGCTGGAGGACAGAAAGATTAAGCTGTGTGGTGAGTAGGGCAGGAAGAGTATCTAGAAAAATACTCCCAAGCACAGGCTCAGGCAAGCATCGGCAAATGTGAAAAAGCTGCGCTTTTCCCAAGGATGCTACATTCTGACTCACCATAGTTGTCTGTTTGTTTGGGTCTCACTGAGCAATGGTTATAAGGTTGTTGGTCATTAACTAGAGTGCAGTTAGGAATAATAAATATCTTAATCATTAAAAGCTCAAGAGACAAATGAGAGAAATGTATGAACTGAAAATCAACAAAAAAATCAAGAGTCTACCTGACCTCAGAGAGAGTCATAGCAAAGGCTGACACCATAACAGAAAAAATTATATGTATATCTACATAAAGTTTCTGTGCTTGAAAGAAAAGAACAAAAGTGAGATATAAACTAGAGATCGCCCCACAGTACAGCTGCTGGCGTGTGCGTGTCTCCTCCTCCACACACAGCCTTAGGCTTGAAGGCCCTACGAAGCAGGACCATTGCGCCTGCCTGCGACAGGCCTGTCACTAGGACCTAACAAATGTTGTCTGCAGTGTCAAGCGACCACGATCTCCTCTAACACAGGTGCATCTGGAGATGGCGCACGGGGGCCCACCGCACACCACAGCCACCATCACTCTTCTAAGACTCCACATCTAGGAGCCGGGGAGATGGGTCAGCAGTTGACACTCTCTTCCAGAGCACCTGGTTCAATCCCCAGCATCCACACAGCGCACCGCAACCATGTGTAACTCCAGTTCTAGGAGCTCAGACACCCTCTTTTGATGGGCACCAGGCATGCACACGGCACAGACACGCACGCAGGTGAGACGGCCACACACATAAAATAAAATGTGTGTGTACAATATACATCCGCCTCTGCCTTCCAAGTGCTAGGACTGAAGCATGCCCCACTGCCAGGCTGCAACATTTTTCTTTAAAAAAGACTCCATATTCTAAGTGAAAATGACAATGTATCTGTAGTCCTAGCAACTATATATAACCATCCAAGAGTCTACACTCCTTAGAAACTGGCCAGTCCCACTCTCTACAGACTGTAAGATACTGGACAGCGGCACAGCACACATTTTGTTTTCAGACAGGGTCTCACTAGGTAGCCCAGGCTGATCTCGAACTCACAGCATCTTAAGTGCTGGAAATTGCCCCACACTTCATGGGGTGGGACTGCCATACCCAGCTCCAGGTCTTGCATCCAAACGGACAGCGAGGGTGACCTCACAGGAGCACAGGGTTCAAAGCGTCATGACCCCCAGTCTGAGCTCCTTCACCCCAAGTTCTCTCCTAGGAGGCCCAGAGCTCTTCCCACCTCTCGTTTTTGTGTTTTCTCTTACCTGACAATCTTCTCAAGAAATTCTCCCTTTCTGCCAGACAGAGTGGCATGAAACCCCAGGAACCAGGAGGTGGAGACAGGAGGATCAAGGAGTTGAAGGCCAGTCTCCAGAAAACTTCCCAGACTGGCTGGCTGTGGCTCACTCAGGAGAGAAGAGAGAAACTCACCCTTATTCCCAGGCACCGTGAGCAGCCTCACTCCAAACCACCTGCCCAGCAGAGATCTGGCCTCTGTGGGCTCAACGCACGCGTTCCTTGAGTCACTGTAAACACATATAAACGAGAGCCTTAACCTCAGGAGACTGTCCCATCTATTGTTAACTGCGAACAGTAGCACGGTGGCTGAATATGCATTTAATCGTGGCACTCCAGAGGCAGGGGCAGGCAGGTACTCTGTGGGTTCGAGGCCAAGCTGGTCTACTGAGCAAGTTTCAAGTCAGTCTTACATAGTGAGATCCTATGTCAAAGTCTAACAATAGTAATAATAACAGTAACAACAACAATAAATATGAAACGTAAAGCCTTTAATGCTCAATGTTTTTCTGATTACTCATTTCTTAAAACTGTCAGGCCTCGTAAATGCCGTTTCCCTGCGCGCAGGGTCAGCCTGTAAGCTTGTTCCGTATCTCCCTTTCAGAGTATCTGCCCTGTACACACTACACCCCCAGCGCCCAGAGATGGGTGGTTGCTGAGTGCACAAATGAGTGAATATTCTGGGCAAACCTACCCACTCCTCCCAACCCCAGTGTCTTCACTGGCCAAGCAGCCAGACAGTCCGCGGTTGGGTAGGCCTGGGAGAGCCTGGACCCCGACAGCCTCGGCGGCTCCTGTCATACCCCACAGCAGGCAGAGGAGACGCTGGACAAGGCCGCCCTCCCGGGACGCGGGACCGCGCCCCCCGCGGGAGCCCTTCGCTCCCGGAGCCGAGGCACGGACGGCGGCCGCGTGTCCCTCGCCGAAGCACAGAACAAAGCGGCGGACGGCAGCAGAGCTCGCTCCCCTTCCTCGCGCCCGCGGCCCTTCTAGGCACCGGGAGGTCTCGCATCTCTGTACCCCGGGCCCCCGGCAGGCCCGCCCTCCGTCCCCGGGGCCCTTCTAGCCGCCGGAGGTCTCGGCATCTCTGTGTCCAGAGCGGCTGAACAGGCGCGTTCCAGACCCGCAGATGCCCCCAGACGTCACTGCTATTAGACGGAGGACAGCGTGGGAGCGTTCAACCAGCGACGAGAGAGCCTGCGGAGCTGGGCAAGGCCTCGGGCAGCGCGGGAAGAGAAACCTGAGGCCTCCTCCTCAGAGCCACCAGAGCCAGCCCAGCCCCACAGCCCGGGGTCTACCTTGTATTGCAGCAGCCGGAAACGTGTACTGGGGTGGGGGTGGGGATGACTGCTCTGTCCCTGTTCTAAGACCTGCGCGTGCACCGGTAGGGAAAATGACTCCCTACTCTGTACGCTGCCTTCAGGTAAAAGGAGGTAAAAAAAAAAAAAAAAGAATCTGGGAGAGCGGTGGCAGGGAGAGGTGGTGGGCTGTGCATAGACGAAGCATGTTCAGGAAACATGTAGACCCCTGGCCAACACGTGTTCCTGAAGGGACGTTAGGAGCACAGGTCTTGAGGTGCTACCGGTAAGGGTGCGGCGGCCTTGGCAAAGGCCTGGCCTGCTCTGACTAGGGCAGGAAGCCTGCTGGTAGGAACGTGGGACCGAGGACAGGCGTGAGCTTTCTTTTGTTGCTGTTCGTTTTGTTTTCTGTCACATATTCCAATACTCGTTGCCTCTGAGATATGAAATAAGGCCAGAAACCTGTTCCTATACATTCTGTGTTTGGAGGCGTTCTAAAACGGCCTCGTGTGCAAGCTTAGCTCTTTGACTTCGCCCTTTGAAGTTAGTACTGCCCTTTGGCGAGCAGGCTGAGAGAGAGTCGGGAACGAACACAGATTTACTAAGCAGGTACTGCATTTAAAAGCGAAGTAGCTGGTGAGGATGGGACTACACTTATTTTGAAGGGTTATTTTGAAGAGTGATTTACTAACCACTTGTATGATGGTCACTGTTGTTCAGATCTGGAATGTCTGGCAGAGGCTCCTGTATTTAAAAACTTATTACATCTTTGTTTCCGTGCATTCCTGTTCTTACGCTAGTTGTGTAATTTTTCCAGGGGAAACGTAAACAGTTCCTGTTCCCTCCAGATAGTATACACCACCAGCAGATCAAAGAATTACAGCCACATACGTGGGAGGTTCCTTAAGAACAAGGATGACTCAAGGGCGGCTGCTTTGCTGGAAAGTCCTCTAGCGTGGGTGGGTATCCGCGAAGAGTGCATCTCTATAGCGCTGCACAACTCGGCTGCTCAGAGAGTCTCTTTTCTCCAGGTATTCTTACTGTTATAAACTTGGGAAGGTGCTTTATGACTTTTCTAGGTTTCAGGATCTTCCTGAGCCTTGTGAGTATTAAAAAAATGTGTGTCTGTGTGTGTTTACATGTACACATACATGGTGCCCACAGAAGCCCAAAGAGGGCATTGAATCTCTGGAACTGGAGTTACAGGTGTTTGTGAACCTCTCAATGTCAGTGCTGAGAACCTAGTTTGGGCACCTTGCAAGGGTTTGTCACTGCTAAGGACGTCCCCAGCAACACCTTGTAAGTTTTGTTTACTTCCTGAGCTTTCCAAGGTTAACTTTCCCAGTGTTCAAAGCTTCCCCACTTCCTCTATGGAAATGTATCCATTCGGAGGAATTAGCTAGACAGCTTGAGGACAGCGTTGTGTCTCCCTAGGAAGAAATTGGGCAGCGTGTGTTTTGTTGTTTTGTTTTGTTTCTGCTCATTGCTGAGGCAGCGTAATGCTGACAGTTTCACGGTCTTCTTCCTGACATCAGGACATGCTCTGGTTTGTCCCCAGGCTGCCACCGGTGTGCCGTCACTACAACGGTTCTGGCATCCTCTGCTCTAGAGGGCCTGTGTACACCCTCAAGGGATATAGCATTTTCCAATCTCTGAAAGTGGAAACGGACTCAATGCATTCAGTCTTGTGGCTGGATACATAGACACGAGTCCCAAGCCCGAATGCATCCAGTTCAGCTCTGTCACCACCTTTTATTCAGCCTGTGGTAAATCTGTTTTGTCCTGGGATTGCTTTGTCTACTGACCTGCTTTTTACCCACTCCTTGTGTGACTGGTAGTTCTTGGAAAACTATCTATTATCTGTTCACCGTGTTGGGAAGCTGAACATATGCAATATCTATAACAGAAGAAAATGCAACTATAAGGAATTTGGGAAAGAACTTTATTGGCTAGGTAATGTGATACCAGCTATACACACATTCCTAAAACCTTTTTAAGTGTGTGGAATTGGTTACCAAGGAGGAAACACTGTAGTTTTGATCAGTTAGCAATCCCAATCAGGCGTTATTTCAGGAATATTTACCACCAAGAAAAAGGAATGGACTGGGGGAGGGATGGGTTGGAGAGATGGCTCAGAGGTTAAGAGAACTGTCTGTTCTTCCAGAGTCCTGAGTTCAATTCCCAGCAACCACAACTCTCTATAATGAGATCTGGTACCCACTTCTGGTGTGTGGGTGAACATGCAGGCAGAATACTGCATACATAATTTCTTTACTGTGTTTTGAAGCAAAATATTTGTATGCCTTAAAAGATAATCTGCCCCTTGCTCGGCTGGGCACCCGGTAAAGTAGCTCAGTACATCTGCTGGTGGGAGGATTGTTGGGGGGGTCGTGGGGAGGCTGTGGGGGGGCTGTGGGGGG